ACAAGTGATCCAAAATCAGTGGCGAGGAGGGTGTAGAGGACTGGTAGGGCTTGATTAAAAGCAATGTAACTGAGAGGAATTACTGAAACCCAAATGAAGGCTGAACATGATAGTGGGACAAGAGGAAAGTAAAAAGGAAAGAACTAGGAGGCAAAGGACATTCATAGAGGTCTAAATACAGGCATGTACATATGCAACTATATTATATATGATGATGGTGGACCTTGGGCCTCTACTTAAGTACTCCCTCAATGCAAGAGCACTTTGTTCTATTAAACTGGCATTCCATGATGCTCATCTTCCTACATCCTGAAGATAAAACGGGTACATAAGCAAATGTGATGAAGAAAGCTGATGGTGCCGCCTATCAAAAGATATAGTATCTGGGGTCTTAAAGGCTTGAAGGTAAACAAGCAGCTATCTAGCTCAGAAGCAACAAAGCCCACATGGAAGAAGCACACCAGCCTGTGTGATCAAGAGGTATTGATGGGATCAGTTATCAGGCATTAAACAACAAAAAATCTTATCATTGTGAATGACGGGGAGTGTGGAGTGTGGACCCAAAGTACATCTGTAGGCAACTGGAAATTACCTTACAGAAGGGACGTGGGGAGGAGAGAAACCAGTCAGGGTGCAGTGTAGTAATGATGAAACATACAACTTTCCTCTAGTTCTTAAGTGCTCCCCCCCCCCACTATCATGATTACAATTCTACCTTACAAATCTAGCTAGACCAGAGGATTTACACTAGTACAGATAAAAACTGGAAACAAAAGGGAATCCAGGACAGATAAACTTCTCAGGACCAGTGGTGAGAGCGGTGATACTGAGAGGGCGGAGGGAAGGTGGGGTAGAAAGGGGAAACTGATCACAAGGATCTACGTATAACCTCCTCCTTGGGGGATGGACAACAGAAGAGTGGGCAAAGATAGATGTTGTATAGTGGAAGACTGGAAAAAAGAATAATAATTTATAAATTATCAAGGGTTCATGTGCGGCGGGGGTGGGGAGGGAGGGGATAAAATGAGGAGCTGATACCAAGGGATCAAGTAGAAAGCAAATGTTTTTGAGAATGATGATGGTAATGAGTGTACAAATGTGCTTGACACAATAGATGGATGCATGGATTGTGATATCAGTTTTATGAATCCCCAATAAAATGATTAAAAAAAATCTTTGAGGGGTTCCTCTTTGGGAGGTGAACAGAGGAAGAAGCCAAGGGCTGTGCATTTGAGCCCTTAGAATCAATACTGTAGTTTGGCCTCAGCTGTAGTAGCACTAAGATCAAGTAATCTGAGGAAATACTGCCAGACTGGTGACGAGGTCAGGACTTGTTGGCCACTCTGCTTCCCTCAGTGAACACGGAGATCAAGGTGCAAACACCAAGCACCAAAGCCATGGGGGAGGAGCCTAAGACTCTCAGGGTGGAGGGTGACAACATTTTTGCATCTTTGCTATGAGCCAGTGTTACTAGGGCTGAACCTTTGAACTGGGTCTTGGTGTGCTTGGGCTTATTATGGAGAAAGTTACTGAAATAAATGGCATAGTCATTGAAATATGAATGGTAAATAGAGATGGTTTGTTTTATATTCCAAACAAGTAAAAAGTACAACACCAATCATACTAATATTTATTGTTTATTATGTGCTAGTCACCATGCTAAGTACTTTATATACATTATGTCATTTAATCCATGTAAGAGCTCTGAGGAGGGGAGGTGGGGATTTTTTCTAGAGACAGAAAAGGTCTAGAGAGGTCACCATTCCTTGCCTAAGGCCACCAGTTTCTAAGTGACCAAGCCAGGACTCAGCGATATGCCAGTGGTCCCCTTTAACTACCCTTAGATGGAGTCTACTGCCAGGGGACCTGGTGATGACATTTGGGGAGTGCAGTGCTGGGCAAATGCCTGACTGAGCACTCTCTGGGGACCACACTTTCCTATCTGAACAGCTACTGGGAAACCACAAACTGGTCTCTTTTTCATTGGGGTAGGTGTGGATCTGGCTTCAGGAAACCTTTGGGGGCAGGGATGGAGGGCACTTCATCTGGTTCCCCGGGGTCCTGAAAGTGCTCCCGTAGGGCTCAGCTCACGGGGCCAGGGCTGGTGCCGTAGGAAGGGAAGGAAACGTGGAGCTCAATAATACTGCCTTATAGAAACCAGACTGTGACATCTTTCAGTTGACGTTGTCCAGAGGCCAGTACACCAAAAGCACTTTCCTAAGGGTAAAGCTATACAGAGCAAAGTCAATTACAGATACAGCTCATTGATTTCTGCCATCCTTTCCCCCCAGCTTGAGGTGATTCTGGTGACCCTGGAAAGTAAGCCCAGGATCACCCTCATGTTCTGGACAAAACCATAGGCACTATCCCGGGGGGATGCCAATCTTCTAGCTGTCACGCAATAGCAGCAGCAAGGAGGAGATCCAACATCTATGGTGTTCATAAATAGGAGGGAGAACATTCACCTTACATGCATGAGCATTTCAAGTTCATCTCACGGCCAAGGGGCTGGGGCAGCACTGGGTTGATTCAGTCTTTTAGCTTCTTAACGCTAGCGGTGGCAAGACAGATGGCCTGCCAATCCGGAACGGAACCTTTTGTCTCTAGGCCAGGCTGTTTGTGACCTTTGGGGAAGGCATTTTTTTAAGGGAGTAAGTCTTTGGGTTTTCCTTTGAACTGGTGGGTGGGATAGAAGAGGAGAGGAGGAATTCAGTGTGGACGAACTGTAAGCTTGACAACGGCAATTGCGACACTGACAAATCCAGCCACCAGAACACAAAACTCTTCTTTTTTGGGGGGTAATTTTCAAGGGAACCTGAGCCGATTCACTGTGCAGTCGAGTTCAGTGTTGGGTGCCTCTCTTACTCGCCTTCCTCAGGGCGATGGAGTCCGGGGGCGATTCCTCATCCCTGATGGCGACATGATCACAAGCATCCTCTCTGGACTGGTCTTCCTCTCCCATTTTATGAATTCGGCATGTTTTCTCTGGCAGCGCTGCCTCCGCCACTAATGACAAGGCTCCGGGAAGTGGACACGACGAGGGTTGGGGTCAGCTCTTCAGGGTCCTCCATCTCCGGCTGGCGGTCCCCTCCTGCAGACCCTTGCAAGTCTGTTTCCGGCACGGCCAGTTCTGAGCCCATCTCTGCACACTGCAGCGGGAGTAATGCCTGGTGTCTCACCAGGGTCTCACTGCTTTTCTGGGCCTCGAGGGAGTTGTGGTGCGTGGGATTCCTTTGGGCCATGGCATTCTTCTGAGGCTCATCGAAGCTCAGAGAGAAGGTGACTGTGCCGCTGCCAAAGATGACCTTCTGCTTGCATCGGGGCTGCTGCTGTGCTTGCTGCTGCTGCTGCTGGTCCTGCCGCTCGTCTTGTGTCAAGGTCAATGGCTGCTGCTGCTTCGGCCTCTCTTCGGCCTGCTTCGGCTGTGGGAAGGGGTCTTCGCTGTTGCTCTTGCTGCTGATGGAGGAGGACGGGGTAGAGCCCGTGGAGCCCCCGAGACTGTTGGACCGCTTGCGGGAGACGTTGCTGCGGCGCAGCGTGGCCCGGGCAGCCACCTTGAAGGCGTGGGCCGCGGTGCTGCAGCGCACCTCCTCGATGGTGTTCCGGGACGGCTTGAAGAGGATGATGTAGACCTTGTTGAAGAAGATGCAGGCCAGCAGGCCAAAGCTGGCTGCCAGGATGGCGATCACCTCCACAGCCGAGACGAACTTGCCGTAGGTGCTGGCGTAGGCCGGGATGAAGGAAATCCAGACGATGAAGAAGATGAGCATGCTGAACGTGATGAACTTGGCCTCGTTGAAGTTCTCCGGCAGCTTCCGGGACTTGAAGGCAAAGAAGAAGCAGATGGCAGCCAGCAGGCAGGTGTAGCCGATGAGGAAGCCCAGGGCCATGAGGGAGCCTTCGTGGCAGGTGATGAAGATGATCTCGTCCTCCAGCTCGTGGTTGCGGTAGCTCGAGGGGGGCGCGGTGTAGAGCCAGATCACACAGATGACGATCTGCATGAAGGTGCACAGGAAAACCAGCAGGAACTGCAGGTTGAGCCCCCACCACTTGCGGTGAAAGCTGGTGGGGATCTTGGCCTCAAACACCAGGAGGACACGGTTGGTTTTCACCAGGATGCAGGAGATGCACAGCACGAAGCTGATGCCGAAGGCCGGCTGGCGCAGGCGACATGTCCAGTCCTGGGGCTCCCCGATGAAGAACAGGGAGCTGGAGAAGCAGCAGAGCAGGGAAAACAGCAGCAGGTAGGAGAGCTCTCTGTTGGTGGCCTTGACGATGGGTGTGTTGCGGAACTTGATGAAGACGCCCAGCACGAAGGCCGTCAGGAAGATGCCCAGCACGGCGAAGAGGGTGAGCGCGATCCCAAAGGGCTCCGTCCACGACAGAAACTCGATCTCCTTGGCAATGCAAGAAGTGTGGTTCTCGTTGGACCAGAAGTCATCGGGGCACTTGTCGCAGGCACTGGCATCTGTAAGACAGGCCGGCGAGGAGTTAGTTAGGGCCTGGCATGGTACTACTACTACCGGGTGTGGTCACCTTTCTTTTTCTGTATGTATATTTTTAAGAGCTATCAAATAACATTGTGAAATCCAACTTATGGCGTCAGGGGAGCTGACATCAAGGAGCTCAAGAAGGAAGAAAATGGTCTGAAACGCCTTGCAGTAGCAATTGCCCAATACCACTTGTTGTGATCGAGCGATGCAATGGTTTATCTGGGACAGCTTCCAATAAAATGGTTTTGGGGAAAAATGAAATTTAATATAGGAAAAATAATTTTATTCATTTCATGTACTTTTGATGGTTTTATTGTTTATTTCCTGTTATATGTTGGGATGGGTGTGGGGGGGTGCACGCCTCCTTGACCATACTGCCTACTGTTGCTTTAGACTGGAGAAATTGTGGTGGCTAGGTGACTGCTCTGCACACTAGAGGTATGTGTCTAAGTTCTTCAACTTTTTACAGAGTGCTTCAAACTCAGTTGGATTTATTTTGGATACCTGGACAGGTTCTGTAGACATGCGTAGACAGAAGGGCTTCCTTTAAGATCAAGGCAAAGTATCCCATGCTTAGGACCTGTGCCTTGTTCCCTCCATATCTCTGGGTTTCCAATAAGGGGGACAACAGACTCATCAACAAACGCGGAGGGAGTCCCTGCTCTGTCCCAGGCAGTGTGGAGTACTGAGAAGGGGAAGGACCACAGGTTTTGCGGTCAGTCATCAGGATGGGAAGACCAGCCTGGTCATTTACTGGCTGTATGACTGTCATTGGGTCCCTAAACTCCCTGAAGCTCAGCTTCTCAGCTGTAAAATAGACACAGTAATGATGTCGTCATAGGGTGAAGATGGAACAGCAGAATAATTACAACGAATGTTTATAAAATGTTTACAATATGCTGGCCATGGTTTTATGTACCAAAGCTTATCTGGACCTGATGATGTGCTTTACCAATATCAACTCATTAAGTCCTTAGCACTCTCCAAGAGAGATATTTGATAATTAGACTCACTTTGTTGATAAAGAAATGGAGACACAGAAAAAAAAACCCCAACATGTCAGACAGCAAGTACAAATCTGTAATGGCCTATTGACTCTGGAGCCTGGAACAGATAAATCGCTATCTGCTTAGGACCAGTGAGCAATAAGAAAAAGAAGGAAAGATTAGAGAGCAGTGTCAAGGGCAGGTAAAAGGTGTGTTTGTAAGTTTTTACTGTATCAGGCTGACACTTAGCACCTCTTCCCACACTCCCTCAGTGCCCAGCACAGTGCCCTCCTGGTTCACACCTTGTTAAAGGGTACTCTGTACTATACTGAGGACCACCTCAGCCCTGCCCTTGCATGGACTTTGCTGACCCCAGGCCCTGAGGTGCAACCAGGTCCCAGTCAGTGTTCACCCAGGGGCGCGCCTCTACCTGTCTCGTCACTGTACTCTCCGTCAGGACACTCCACACACTCAAAGCAGCAGGTGGGCTCCCCCTCGATGATCCCTTTCCTGGTCCCTGCCAGGCAGTCTCGGCTGCAGTTGGAGAAGGGCACCTGGAGGACAAGGGCAGGAAGTGAGTGGCGCAGCATCTGTGACATGGACCATAGGGAGGAGTTTGGGCCCAGAACTTGTGTGGCGATTCCAGGCCCATTCCAGCTAGAGGGGCAAGTGGTGCTTGTCACTGTTCTCTGTGCAAGGGAGAAATGCCCATGCCCTGTGCGCGCGCACACACACACACACACACACACACACACACACACAGCATCTCTATGGAATTCTGGGTTGCCAAATTGTTGTAAATCTACACACACAGACACACACACACACAGAGACACACACGCACCACCACCACCATAAAAAAAACCCAACCTACTGCCATCGAGTCAATTCCAACTCATAGCAATAAAAAAAACCCCGACATCATTCTCCCCAGCTGCAGTTCCCTGGCCCCAGAATTTACACGGCATTAAATACTCAAGAGAAAGTAAAAGATACAGGAACTTGGACCCGTACACAGAAGGACAATCACAGGAGGAGGTGCGGGCACAGGAGAAAATCTATTTGAACTTGAGACTCTGAATTTGCGCTGAGCACAATTCCTGCGGTTTTATTTTAGGCTTGTGGGGTGATTTCCTGAGATGTTTGCAACAACCCAGTGAGCCACTGTGAGCCCTTCTGCTATCCAGCTGAGGTTAGCACTGGTTTGAAGTCACCCACAGTGTGAACTGAGGGCCCAGGACTAGCGCCGGCATCTTCTAGCTCCTAGTTTCTGGCCTATTCTATTTATTTTCTGTTCTGTGGCTGTGGAAGCTACAAAATCTGTCAACTTGCGAAGCGGTGGAATCTAGCCTGTCAATCAGGTCACAGCCAATGAGGCCTCTGTGTGGGCACAGCCTACTCCTGAGGATTCTGGGAACTCCTGTTTTCCTCCCTGGAGGTGGGACACACACACTCTCTCTTCTTCATATTCTTGTTGACAAGACACATGGAGCTACCCTGATGGAGCCAGAGCCCTGGAGTTGGAGGAGCCACGTGGAGACCCACACTAGTGCTGAGATGCTTCCACCGCCACTGGATCCACTAGACTTTCCACCCACTGACTTGTGATCTTCCTGCATTCAGCATCATTGCATGTGTTGCATGAGTCGGAAGAGGAATTTATAGATTGGCATTGGACATATTGGCTAATACTGGACTTACAGATTTGATCTGGACTGGGCAGGGATGTTTTCTTAATATATAATTGCTCTTTAATATAAAGCGTTCTTATACACATATGAGTGTCAATGGATTTGTTTCTCTAATCAACCCAGTGGCCAAATTGTGCATGTCAGTCCTATCCACTAGAAAGCAGATGACCACACACCAAATGAGGAGGCTCCAGGCATTGCCTTGTTCGGATGTGGGATCAGAGCAGCTGTGGGAGGCCTGGTTTCCTCCATATGTGAGGGCTCCATCTGGATGGATGCACCTGAGCTCCTAAAGCAGGAGTTTCATGGCAATGACCGGTTGGCATCAAGAGCAGCAGTTTTTTGTGTGTGCGCTGCTGCACAGGCTTTTCAACTAGCAGCAAGAATTATTTCAAAGCACTCAGACTTGATGTTGGCTTTGGAGTCAAGCAGGAATCAATGCGCAGGCTTCAGTTCTCCTGACTTCCTGGGTCAATACGACTTCAGGATGCCCTGGTTTTATGGTGTAATTTCGGGGGGGAGGGGCCAAAAGCTGGAACACCTCAAAAGCATGCAATTAATCACATCAAGTTTTGACTGTAATTGCCATTGAATCCGAGTGCACTAGCAGGACACCTGGTGTTTGGCAAATCTGACACAAACCCGTGACTGGACCTGCATTGCTAGGTTTAGCTACATCTCAGGGTCTCATTTGGTTCTAGGGCAGCATGAGAGATGCCTGGTTTTTCAATGCTTTCCTGACAGAAGTATTTTCTGCTTTGAATTTTTTGTTGGTAGCATGTGTTTTCCATAGTGGAAGGCATGCTGAAATCAAAGAAAATAATTTTTGAGGTAATAAGGATTTTTATATAATTTCATGGGACACATGTGTCCCAAGTGGACTCTGGTGGCAGAACTGGTGCGATGAAGTCTGCTTCTTCAAACTCCTTTTGCTATTTGGTGGCAATCCCCACTTAGTGGCAGCATGTACTACGATGGAAATAGTGGCTTCCCCCAAAACCTGAGAGGCTGAGACTGTAGATGGTTGGCATATGTCCCCAGAGTCACAAGCGGGTTAAGGGCCATGATGTGAGAATAGCTGTGCCTTCTATTAAAAAGCAAGGCTGGGACAAAGATGAGGTGGGGGAGGTGCTGCACAGCTTGGGTGTAAAATTTAAGAGGAAGCAGGAAAATTCCATAATCAAGAAAAATGTTTTAGTACAATATTAAATAGTCAAAACCAATACTCCAAACTCTATGATATGCAAAATATCAAACATTCCTGGTCTTTCCCTTGGCCTCAGACTCAAATCTTGTTCTGCATGAATCTGTTGCCAAAGAGCCAAGAACTGTGCCTTGCTTGCAAAAATAAAATAAAAATGGTTTGAAAAGGGGGAGGGCGGGGCCGGGTTGGGGGGAAAAAAATGGTTTGAAAATGTGTTGTTGTGGCTTAGGTCCTCTCCCGGACCACTTATTTCATTAGAAATGTCCCGGAATTGGTTGTTTTGTTCTCAGCAGATGTTTCTGAGGACACCCTCCCTATGGGATTGGGAGAACTGGAGGCTCTACCACAAAGCTTCTACAGAGAACTAATGGTTCCTAGAAGCTGATACATAAGTAAACTCACCTATCAGGGCTTCTGGACACATCTGGGCAGAGAACGGCTACATGGTGACCTGTGTAGGGATCACAGGCTGGTGATAGTAGAGTGAACATGCCTGCATCTCAGTCACACAGGTGGCGTGAGCCCTATGCCAGCGCCAGAGTCAACTGAGACCCATTTCATCTCAATGATGAACAGTTTTCATCGTGTTTAAATCAAGAAGTCTTGGAAAGGGAAACACATGGTTTAAGAAAGTGAATTTTGCTCTCCAGTTCCATCAGGATGGCAAATTAACTTGGGTGCTGGTCCCTTGTGGTAAAGGGAAATCTCTTTAGGGAAACACGTGATTCAAAAAATTTAAAAATCCTAGGAGAAATGCCAGGGAAGGTCACAGGCTGATTTGTACTCGTGAGTGTGGCTGCATGAGGGACAGCACCCACAGCCGTCAAGTACATTCTAACTCATGGAGGCCCCATATAGGATTCCTGAGGCTTTATATGTTTTTATGGGAGAAGACAGCCTCCTCTTTCTCAAGAAGAGTGGTTATTGGGTTTGACCCACTGACCTTGGTGATGACAATGATAAGCACCACCTCCATGAAACAGTTCTACTGTGCACACAGGCGTCACCAAGGGTTGATATTAACTTGATGGCAACTAACAACAACATTGGGACTTTACGCCCTCACAACCTGAGGTCTCTGTGTGAAGACAGGCACGTGCATTTGTAACTGAGAATCTACCCATCAAGGCAATAAAGACTCACACACAGTGGATACAATTCACCATCTATAGGAGGTCTTTCTCCTGGGCAACCTACCCTGGAAATTGGGGAACAGTGAAATTGTGAGACTGTTAGGATCTCATTAGAAACCAATTAGTTGAAGAAGAATTGATAAAAAGATGCGTTGAAAACGTGGTTTCAAATGTGACCCTAAGCACTCAAAGAGAGGAACAGAAATGCATATACAGAGAGAAATAAGCTGGGTCTCATCCTGGCCTCCCTGGGAGAAGTCAAAGGATGTTCTGTCTAGGGTCTCTGTCCCTGAAGAGGAGCTAGGTCCAGTGGTTGACCTCATTCTAGGACAAGCCATCATAAGAGAGTCATCACCTCAGCATATCATGGGTCTTTTACTTAGGCATACACTCACTGAAAGCGGGATTCTCCTGGTGCCTCCATTAGGGGGCATGATAGGGGGTTGTTCATATCCTGTTGGGGTCCCCTACAGGAGGTTGGAAGTCAATCAAGGATAAAGGGCACGTGACAATTCAGGCCCTTGAGCCAGGTGAGCTTTATTCAGCCAATGGGGTCAACCAATACCGTTGACCACGTCTCCCAGGGGAAATCCCTAAAAGCTGGAACCTGAAGACCACCAGCCTCTTTTCCCGATGTTCTGCCACCTTCTGCTCAGCCGAGCCACCAGAAAGCCTCAGGCCTCAGGCCGCCACGTGTGGGTGTGCAGTGTCCGAGGGTACAGGCCTGTGTTCCGTTAACTGTAAAGCTTGAAACTTCCTTGCTCCTTTATAAAACCCCCCTTGGAACACAAACCAGGCTTCAGCGAGAATTCCTTCTCATGCAAAGCCAAGAACCAAGGTATTTCCCACCCGAAGAATCTAACGCATTCTGCTCTTTGTCAGTGATCACTCACAAGAAAGAATAAATTGGCCTTTTGGTTTCAAATCAGCCCTGAGTGATTGAATGCCTTGCAACTACCTCTGACTAAATTGTCCAGACCCTGGACAATGGCGGTACCACCACATGAAATTGTCTCTCAATGGCTGCTAATAGTATTAGGGAGAAAGGGTGGCAGTTCTTTCTCATGCAGTATTGTCCCCCATATGTAGGACTCTAAGCATCCCAGATTCCAAATACTAAAAGCCATTCACACTTCCCAATCATTGTGAGAACTCTAAAAGTTTGCGCCTCCCTCCAGCACTTACAAATGAGCCTCCCACCAAAGCTGGTAGGACTCCCCTCCACCACCACCTGAGAGTCAGTGTCAAAAAAACTACAGGCAGCTAGAGAATCAAATCTGTACAAAATAAAAATTGTTTCAATAAAATCAGAAGGCAGGGAGCTCAGGTTCTAGACGAGGATTCTCATCTGTATACTCAGTCGGTGTGGATTTCACAGGGACCCCTGAGAATGCAGAGCTAACAGTTCATTTTGGAAGACTAGTAGGGAAGCCCAAGGCCCTCTTGAAGGTCAGCCTTTCCTTTGCGCACCAGAGGTGCCTGGTGTTCTGATGGAGAGAGAGCACATACCTCCCTGGAGAACCCACTCCACAGGATTTTCTTCTCATTGATGAAGAGCCTTTCTCCCTTCTTGGCATAGGCATTGTAATACCCAACCTCCTTAAACATGATGGAGCCGTCCTCTGGGGAGAGATGCCAGTTGATGATGGAGTAGTTCCCCATCAGGTCACCACACTCATCAAAAGCCACCTGCTCTCCCATATTGTTGGTGAAGTTTAGGTGCCGCAGGTGCTTCAGGACCTGGAGAGGAATGGAGATGAGTGTTTTGAGTACAGACTGTAGGGCCACCACAGATGGAAGCACTACCATGTTCTAACACAATTTGTATATGACAACAATTTCCCGGCTGTGTTAGGCCAGGTTGACTAGAGAAACAAATCCAGACACACTTGTATATGTATAAGAAAGAGCTTTATACCAAAGAGTAATTATATATTAAGAAAAGAACCCAGCCCAGTCCAGATCAAGTCCTTAAGTCCGATATTAGCCTATAAGTCTGATACTAGTCCATAAATTCCTCTTCAGACTCATGCAGCGCATGTAATGATGCAGGAAGATCACAGGCCGGAGGGTGAAAAGTCTTGTGGATTCAATGGTGGTGAAAGCATCTTAGCACTGGCAAGGGTCTCCACATGGCTCCTCTAGCTCTCCGAGTGTAGCTCTTCAATAGGAAGGTGAAAGAGAGCGAGCGAGCTCTTGCAGGTCTCAGCAAATCTCCTGTGGCTTGTCAACAGGAAGACAAAGGCAAAGAGAGAGGAAGTTCCCAGAATCCTCATGAGAAGGCCATGCTCACAAGGAGGCATCATCAGGCTGTGACCCGATTGACAGGCTAGACTCCACCCCTATACTCATTTATTATGTTGGCATGAAATTATGTAACTACCACACTGGCAGATGGAAGGAAAATGACTTGAAGAAGTGATACCTTTTTCTAGTTCATTTGAAGGCATCTGTGTGTGTCAGCCTTGATAAGTCATACCAGTACCATGCTACACTTTGTACTTATGCTGTAACTGGGGGCGGTGCACACGTTCTTAAAGTTTGAAAAAGAAATGGGACCCATCTCACCGCAGTCAGCGGCCAAGTCAAAAGCTTTTGCAGAGCACCAATGGGATAGGTTTATCAGGCCAACTAAGCCAATAGAAACATGTGGGCAGAATTTAATCAGGTCACACCTTGATTGGAAGGCAACAAGATAAATGTTTCTACAAGGTCTGCCTCCATCTTTCTTGCTCCCTGGTGATTGGACCAGCGTGCTGCTGCTTTAGCTAGTTCTCTGCCTCAAACTGTGTGCTACACCACCTTTGGGCCAAGCCAACTCATGGATCAGCTTGAGGCTCCCTTGAGACCCACTTTGCCACGCTGCTGGTGTATACATTGAGCTTTAAGCTGGTGCATCCTGTTGCTGTGCTTGAGTTCCAGAGCCCATCAGGGCCTGTCTGCTAAGCTCCCAAGCTACTGACTGTTGCAGACCCACCCTGCTGTCTGCTGCCTGAGGGAAGACTCAGCTGTCTGCTTCCTTGACCTTGGACCCAGCAGCCCATGTGAGTTGAAGGGCTTCTAGTACATTAACTGTTTCACGAAAATGAGTTGAGTCCTCTGTACTGCCGTGTGGACTAATTAGCTGTTATATTCTTTCTCACTGTATAAACCTATCCTCATATATATTTATAATCATAATTGTCCTGGTTTTGTTTCTCTGGAGAACCCTGCCTAACACAACCATCACCTCGTGTTGCCCCAGGAAAGGTGTGGAGGTGGTGGCTTATAAGCCAGAGCCCATTCCTAGTACCTTCTGAGACAGCCATTGGGGAAAGACTGGAGGCAGTGACTAACTGCTCTTACGAGCTGTACCTTCTTTCTCTGAGCGTGTGTGTCTGTGGAAGAGCCATGCTGCCCCAAATCACAGGAAGTCAGGTGAGAGGGAGGGGAAAATGAGACTGAGTGTAACACTGGCCACCACTGCTGTGATAGCATGGTAAGTCATTTCTCTCTTTTTATGAGGCTTTGTGGATCACAAAGCTGTTGTTCAAAAAGTGATGATAATAATTACTAAGGTTTACTAGTCACTTTGCTACCTTTCAGGCATAGTGTTAAAGGCTTGAGATTCATGATCTAATCACGTGTTTGGGGCAAGTTATCAGCAGAGGCTAGATTCTGGAGAAGGGTGTCATAGTTGGTAAAGTCGAGGGGCAGAGAAGAAGAGCAAGGACCTTAAGGAGATGGATTGACACAGTGGCTGCTACAGTGGGCTCCAGCATGGGAACAATTGTGACAATGGCACAGGACTAGGTAGTGTTTCATTGTTGTGCAGAGGGTTGCGATGGGTTGGAACTAACTCGATAGTGCCTGACAATAACAACCTAATGCTTGCAACAAATTTAGCCAGTTGGCCCTACTACCCCCATTTTAAAATGGAAAAATCAAGACACAGAAAACCTAGGTATCTGGGTCACCTAGCTAGCCAGTAGTACAAAGCTCACCCTTGTAACGTATACCACCTTGCAGCATTTTAAGCTCCTGGCACCACTTCCTGCCATGTTCTGGCCATTGGTCAAGAGCTGTCTATAGGGATGAGGCAGCTTATCTTTAAAGTGGGCCTTAGTCCTGAGGGTTCAGGTGTCACTGAAGCACCTGGCGGGTCAGACTCGGCCCTAGCCTGTGGGCATAGGGGTGCTTCCTTCTGCTGCCCCTCACAGTCACCAGGCGTTCTCTCTCTGCTGCTCTATTTCCTTAGCCATGAGGGACCGGGCTAGGCCCGGCAGGTCTCTACTGGCTCTTGGAGCAGTGGGTAGGCAGCCCCGGGAGCACACTTACAGGTACTTTTCCTTTTCCTTTTCATTTCCTAGTAAGAATGGCCTTACTAGGTGTCTGTGAGGTCCAGGCCCTGTGATCCATGTGAAGGTGTGGGCCAAGTTGGGTCAATAGAACCAGAACCTAGGGCAGCAGTTTTTGTGCTCTACCCGACTCTTCCCTCAGAGATCGCAGTGACTCTGAACAATCCTCAACATTTACCCATAGGAGGGGATGCCGTTTAGTTTTGTGGGTTTGCTTCTAACCCGTTCTGAGATGTGTGCTCTCGAGGGGGGCAGGTGAGAACCATGGCTCCCTAACACAGGGATGTGTCTGCTACTCCAAGGATGGGAGCTGCCCAAATCACAGCACTGGCCACCTTGGCACCCTGCTACCCACAGTCACGGGGAGGAGAGCAGCACCGATCTCTCTTTGACAGCTACTGTGTAGATCTTTGTTGGTGTAAGAGTGATTGTCCTATTCATTATAGGATGTTTAGCAGTATATCTGGCCTCTACATACTATATACCTGTGGCACCCCTGTCCTCAGATGTGACAATTCAAAGTGTCTCCGGACACTGTCAAATGTCCTCGGGGTGGAAAAATCATTCCTTGGTAGTGAACTACTACAAAATGGTAGCACACAGAGATGGTTGAGCACCTACACGAATAACCAGATTTTCTTCTTCTCACACACTTTGCCACATTGGTGTGCTTTTTAACTCACTGGCTCTATTCCTCTCTGTGTCTCTCAACTGTTTCTCTCTCTCTCTCACACACACACACACACACACACCCCCTCAGGATTCACTGGAGAGAACAGAAAATCTTGAGAATAGCCATAGGGAAGGGTGTCCAATGCGAACTACCTGGGTGACAATTCTTCCTACAGTTGCTGTTAGGTGTCGTGAAGTCAGTTGCAAGTCATAAAGGAACTATGTAAAACAGAATGAAACCTGCGTGCTCCATCTGGTGCCATCCTTACAATTGTTCTGTGTTTGAGCCCTTTGCAGCAGCCACAGCATCAATCTATCTCAAGGGTCTTCTTCATTTTGGCAGACCCTCAATTTGAACAAGCATAATGTCCTTTGTTCCGGGGCTTATCCCCCCTGTGAACTTGTCCAAAGTACATGTGATGAAATCTTCCCAACTTCACTCTCAGAAGCATTCTTGCTGTATTCCTTCAAGACAGATTTGTTTATTTTTTCTGGTAGTTCGTAGTATTTTTAGAATTCTTCATTAGCACCATAATTCAAGCACATCAATTCTTCTTTGATCTTCATTATTCATTGCCCAACTTTTGTATACAACTGAGAAGAATGAAAACATCATGGTTTAGACCAGGTGAAACATAGTCCTTGTTGTAGTTACATAATCTGGTGTCCACTTGCGAAGGGGTGGAGCTAGCCTGTCAATCAAGTCGCAGCTTGATGACTTCATTTGGGAGGAGCAAACGGAGATAAATAATTCACTGGAGGCAAGATACACGCTCACTTCCTGTGAGACATTCCTGTTGACAAGCCACATGGAGTTACACTGATGCAGCCAAAGTCCTGGAACTGGAGGAGCCACATGGAGACCCATGCCAGTGCTGAAATGCTTCCACAGCCACTGGATCCACAAGACTTTCCACCCACTGGCCTGTGATCTTCCTGCATTCGGCATCATTGGATGGCTGTGTGAGTCTAAAGAGGAATTTATGGACTAGTATTGGTATATGGGGTAATGTTGGACTTATGGACTTGATCTGGACTGGGCTGGGATATTTTCTTAATGTGAAATTGCTCATTGATAAAAAGTTCTGTCTTACACACATATGAGCGTCTATCAATTTGTTTTTCTAGTCAACCCAGGCTAACATAGTCCTCTCAGTGTTATCTTTGCTTTTTTAACATTTGAAAGAGGATTTTGGCAGATTTGCCTAAAACATCACTTGTTTTCATGATTGCTGTTTCTGTGGATATTGATGGGGGACTCAAGTAAAGTGAAACACGTAACAAACTCATTCTTTTCTCCACTAATCAAGCTGCCATTTATTGGTCCAGTTGTGAGGAATTTTGCTTTCATTACATGGAGGTATAATTCATGTTGAATTTCATCAGTAAGTGGGTGCCGCAGGGGGTGGGGGAAAGCCTGGATAATTGCTTCTCTACAGATGCAGCCAAGAAAGCCCTGTGGCGACATTCTACCCTGTGACACACAAAGTCGCCCCGAACTGGAACTGACTTGCTGACAATGGTTTTCTTTTTTGGTTACATGTATTTTAAAAATTCACACATACACAGTTGCTGTTCACAGAGCATCTTATAAATCATTATATCTTTTGAGCCTTACAATTTGGTAGCTTAAGCATTTTACTAAGGAGAGATCAGAAACTCATAAAGGCTAAGTGACTTGCCCATGATCAGAGAGTAAATTCATGCCAGCATTTCCATCAGAAACTAGAT